AGCTCTCTGTTGCACAGCTGTTGTGTCCTTTCCAGCTCAGCTGGAGGCGTTAATGCCACCCCTTCACTCACAGTGCATACATAACCTGTTATCATCTCTTGTGAGCAACACGTAGCTTCCTGCTGGTGAATCATCTTTTATTTCATGTTTGTCCATCATCTGTCAAAACAGGACTTGATAGCCAATTAAAGTTTCTAGAGCACAGGAGCAAGGTAGATGCATCACAGCTCTGCTGCCTCTTTGGAGGCACACAGAGAAGTGCTGCCACATCAGACATGACACCTGACACATCAACAACAGTGATCTGCTGCCTATGCTTCAACCTCAAGCCCCGAGGGTGACAAAAACAAGCAGTTAGACTAGGAGCCCATATTTTATTCTCCAGTCATCAGCAGTATGAGTTGCATATAGTCGTGATTGCTCACAGATGGCCAAGAAAATGATGCCACTGGAAAAGATCCTTTCAATTGCTTTCATAAAAATAAGTAATCAAACAACTCAATTTTCCAACAGGTGGAACCCAACTGGGTTGGTGTACCAGTTTCACAGCTAAGCAGCCTTCCCCTAAAATTCCCTCCAGGCCTTGGCCACTTGTTTCCTCTTTCTCACTCTTACACACAGCTTGCCAACAAGATACCATCAGGTACCAAACAGAAACAGCAAAAAGAGGCAATCTGCCAAAAAGCAAAGAAGGTGCAACAAAACCTCTCTTACCTAGGCAGAAAAGGCTGCCTGCAAGCATCATTATGCTTCCTTCACTCATGAAAAGCAGGACCAAGCTGGTATGAGTGACTCCCCAAAGACACATTGTGACTACAAAAATTCTGATGCCTACCTGTACTTCAGGGCTAGGTGGTACAGACAGGAGTTACATCATATGTAGATTTCCTTGGAGATGCTGAAGAGGAAACTTAAATTCATAATCCACTTGATCCTTCCTTGGTTCTCCCAAAAAAATACAGAGGGCACCTTTTAACCCATTCTACATTCAGTTATTCCCATATTTGTTCCCCTTGGTTTACAGAGAAGGTCTGAGCAGTACTGGAGACAAGTCACTTCAGGATGCCTGCCTGGATTTTCAATGCCAGTTGTATATCCCACCCTTCCTTCTGAAATTTCTACACTTGATACTAGAGTAATTTCAGCTGCTTTGTCAGCATTGCAGGTCACAGTACAGTATATGCTGGTGTATTTTAAGAAGCCTGGGTGCCTTCATGGGTAACTTTTGCAGTGCAGCTGCTGGACCTTTGTGTAGCAAGGACAAGAGCACCCAGAGAAAGGTATACCTACACTGCTAGGAGCAGGAACTCTACCAGCCATAATGCTCTGCAGTCAGGCATTTCCACAAACCCAAGGCTAATTCACAGGATACAGGGCTGAAGAGATACCCCTTGCTCTTGTATTGGGCTCAGTAAAGCCATAGGAATAGCTGAACTGCATTAGCACATTTGCTATCTGAAGCTTAGTACACAAGCAGAAAAAGAATTTGTTCCTCCAGCATTTTCAAGGCTCTGTATTAGAAACAAAAGCCACAACCCCTGCTAGGAGAAATACAGAAGAAAAAAAAAAAAAAAGCAGAAAGAACAGATGAGAGAATGACTAATGGGACTGACAGGAATAAATTCCACCGGTTGGACTGACCACAGCCTTGCACTATAAAATCCTGGGACCTGATGCACAGTAAAGTTATCACAGGACCACAGGCCATGTAATGGAAATCATTTAAATTTCAATATTTCACCTGGTTGCGCAGACAAGGCCTGTGGAGTGTGTCATTTCAGCTGAAATATTTATTGAGGCTGCCCACTGGTTTATACAGCAGGAGTTTAAAGGCTAAGAATTCAACTCTCCAATTCTGAAACTGGGAAGAAACAAATGCTGGAGAAACGAGATACTCAACAGCCTATGAGAAAGTGATGGAAAATTCATTGCTTTCAGTCACTTACAGCACTTGTTATGCAGAAACGGACTGAACTCTTCAGTTTTGCTCGGAGGCTTATGTCATCTCCAATCTTCCCAGTGAGACTCAAGCATGATTTATCACAGCAATTTGCATGTAGATGAACGACATCTCTGCTTTCAGTGATTGCATTTCTGAAATTTGGTTTTCACTAGCTCAAAGAAAACAGCTTCAAAGGGGGAAATATAACTTCCTTAAAAACCCTTGTGCTCTAAACAACTGCACTCAGTCTAACCTGTTTTAAAAAAGGAAAATTAAAGTGCCAGCAGATAAAACAGAGCACCACAAATTTGCATTTTCAACTGCCAATGAAGCAACTGGAGAATTTTGTTTACTGTGTCATCAGCTAGAAATGGCACAGGCCCATGCAGAACCAAGTTTTGAATGCAGGTTGTTTTTTTCTCAAATACCATGGGTCTGTCAGGGAGAAACTATTTAGAAATCCCTTCAAAGTGTTGTCCAGGAAACTCATCCTGCATAGCATTGTTCATAATCCACTCCTCCAGATGTTCTTCTCACTTTCCTAAACACATTGTTGAAAAAGCCCAAGGCCCAGTGGCTTAAGACAGTACTCTGCATCTTGTAAGGAGGTTACTGATGTGGTACATCAACCAAAAAAGATACATTCTTATTTTATTCACTTGGTTCATCTAGAAAGCCAGCTCACCTTCCGATGAATACTGACTGTAGATTGCAAATAAAATACAGAAGCCAGAGAGCACGAATTCCTGAAATAATGATCACCATTCTGCCGTTTGCTTCATTAAATATTTTAAAAGATAAGTTTTACATGTTTTCAGCCAGCTAAAGGTTTCTTGCTTTTTTTCTTCTCTGTTCTGCTGCATTGACAAACAACAAAATATCCACAGCTGTCCAGAACCAAGCAGGACTTTGCAGGCTGATTTGGATGTACCAGAATATTGAATTGCATCATGCTCTCCTGTGCAGCAAGTTTTCCATATTCAGAAGCATCAACTAATGACAGGTCCAAGATTAGTTAAATGGAACCAGATGGCAGAAACTCCAACCATAGCTTAAATAAAGCAGTCAGTGCCACAGGGGCCACCGATGCTCACTGAACTCCTTTCTCTCTTCAGTGATTGTGTTGATTTTTTCACCATCCAAACACTAAAACCATGCTGTGGTTATATTGTGACACTGGAGACATGCTATGCCATAGCCTGCTAATGACTCATTCATAGCCTACAGATTGCCTTACTCAGAGACATATCAGAATGGCAGCATTCAGTATTTAGTAATCAAGAGATTACATGGGTCACATTCTGAAATCCCATCAATATTTGTAAAAGCACATTGAGCAAAACACACCATGTCCTTAACTGACCCATTCCCAACACCCTCTTTCCCAAAGAAGTTTTTTTCACCCAAATAGTCCACATAATTTCACTTGGAAGTTTATCCACCAACTCTGTATTCTAGAAGACAAAATAGAAGATATTAATTGTATAAAAGGTAAATAGCTGTGGTGCTGTCTGTTGAAAGCATAGGCAAACACTGTTCCAAGCGTTTCCAGTTACCATGAGAATTGAGGCTCTACTACACACAGCTGATTTACAGCTGCAGTTCACATGATAAAGACAGACCAACATATTTACAATACCAGAAGCTGGAAAACACATTTAAAACAGAAACTTGAAAAACAGCAGTGTAGAAACACCAGCTGCTGATCTGCTACTACACTCTAGAAGTGGAGCAGTTTTGCTTCAGCAACAACAAGCTACAAGAAGTTGGTGTCAGAGACAGCCTCTTCTGGAGCACTGGTTCTCCTCCGGCTCCGGGTTCTCATGGGGTTCCAGCCTCCTCTGTTACCCTGCTGCTCTCAAATTACTCCCTCCTCTATCTGAGCCTGATAAAATACAATTAAATGGGTTTGTCTGCCAAAGGCTCAGATTTAAGAAAATTACAGATAAAAGAGAATAACAACATTTGATGTGTGAGAATTGAGCTCAAGTCAAGATTGCAGAAAACACGAGCAGAGCTGAGATCTAAAATTTTGTTAAAACGCACCTAAAATTTGGGAAAGCAAATTTAGGAAAACATGCTGACATTTTTAAAGATCCCTTTTTCAAAGTAGACATTCATTTTGAAGAAAAACTGGAGCGAGCTGGCATCTCAGGCCTCAGGGGAAGATGTGCCATGCTCAAATTGCAAGAGCTCACACCTGATTCACCTCCAAAATTAAAATTCAGTTCTCAGAGGTGGAAAGTGAATGTAAAACGACAAAGTTTGTAAGCTTCTATTCCTCTATGTTAAAACAATCTTGTATTTTTATTTCTTTATTTATTTAAACAGAATTTTACTGCTACAAAAACTTGACTCCAACTCAACTTTCAGCAGCTTCCTCAAGAAACACTGGGACCTTGATCAACTAAATGCTGACCCATTATCATAGCAGTCGATTACCTCTCTCAGCATAACAAAGCAGAGCAGGTTATTGTGTTCCTGGCGGGACTTAGTAAAAGAGCTGTTGGAGTTGCACTACATTATTCAGCTGCGTTACCCAAGAGCCAACACCACTATTAAAAACAGGAGTGTTGCAACAGAGCTATACACTCAGAGACTTTCAGAGAGTTGGTGACAGCAAAAGAAAAGCATTCCATAATTTGGTTTTGGGGAATGGTTTTATATCAGTCGCATTCCCAAGAGTCTTTTCCACTTAGACAGTGTTTTCTAAGGTGCTTCTCTATTTCTAAAGATTTTTCTTTATTAGGTACTGCTAACACGATATCCTGACCCCTGTCCCCAGAACTGGGCCAGCATTCATCCCCAGGGCCCAGAATAATGTTGATTTCTGATTCTGCTATCAGAAAGCAGCTCTAAAACAAACAACCTGACTGCACACCTGCATCACCTCCCACCTCATCAGTCTGGGAAACAAACCCCTCAAGGCGGTATTAACTTCTTACCTGTTCAGTTTCATGAAGCATTTACAACAAAAATCCAGCTTCAACACAGTAACTGCAGAACATACCATACAGGACTGGAGCATGCAATAGCAAACTGATCACACTTCAGACTCTGAAGCTTCCAAATAGCTTTAATTGAAACTGCATTACAGAACCAAATTTACTTCAACAATAAATTGTTAAAAGCTGGTTTCAATCCTGAACATCTCTTGTGGCATAAAGCATAGGAGTAAAGTTAAATAAAGCACATCCTCTCCTGTATCCTCTATGGTACTCCTTTACTGCATATTTGTACTTAGGCTCATTCAGTCCATAAAGTACAGCACGTTACCCTCCAGGGAGTTCAAAAGCTGAAAACCCACAAAAGAAAAATAACACCTAGAATGTCATCCTTCTACTCAGGGGCTTTTTGCAAAGGGCATTTTATCCGATAGCAGAAAATGGTACAGCTGTGTTCACACCCATGTGGACATTAAGGATCAGCAAACAAGATGACACAGGGAGCAGCCTATTATATTACTGAAATGCACTTGGGATCCTCCTCTTTACTTACCTTCTTCATAACCCTGCCTTTAAATCTTTTTCCAGAAGGCTGGCCAGCATTTCTGGGGTAGTCAATCCCACTTACCACACTTGCTATCCACACTATGTTTCAATTGAACGAATTCATTTCGGTTTCATCCATTATAGGGTTCAACTGCATCTCATAAAAATGCAGTAGATTTAACTCCAACCCAACTTACTACCTACTAATTAATATACCTTTTAAGTCACACTGATTCTAAAACAGTAATGAAGGTCACAAACTTATCAGACAATATTTTTGTTAGTGCTGAGATATTTCGTGCCACATGGGGAAGAAAGGGACTTCCAAATGTTTGAAAACAGGGACAGGAGTAAAATAATGGATTTTCTCCAGTTCACATTAAAACAATTTAACAGTCATAAACCGTGGGGGAACGAGAGTGTCTCAGCACCTTGAGAACTGACAGAAGGGGTCACAGGTCCAGCTTTTGCTGTTCCTGGGAATGTCTGCCCATGCTCAAATACACAAGCTGTTGAGAAGATTCATGTGTGGAAGGCACACAGGGCAATCCTCAGAAATACTGTTGGTTTTTTTTGTTCCTTTTTTTTTTTTCCTGGAGTAGTTAAACTATTTGAAAAGACAATATTAGAGTGATTAGTTATAAGAAAGCTGAGTGGCAGAATTCAAACTTTGGACATGTTCCAGAGTGTTTCTTGCTGCATCTTTTCATTAAATCCCTTATTTACGTTGAATAATGGAAAAGAGACTGTATAGCCTCTATTTCCCTACATGAGTCACACCTCATTATCAGTGGGACTGAGCGGGCACTGCCTTTGCTGTGGGTCAGGACATCAGGGTGAAGGATAATGCTGTGCATAGGAACCCCACCCAAGGCCATGGAGGGCCTGGAAGATGCAAATGAAGAAAAGATGTTTGTATAGCAGAGGCAGCCTGAAGGTGATGGAGAAAGGTAGGTGCTACAGCAGCCTCTAAGCTAGAACTCCCATATAATCCCCATGTGAATTTTGACTGTTTATAGGTACCTGATGTGTGCTTGCTGGGCTCTGGCTTGAAATACCCACAGCCCCTGGGCAGAAGCCTTGACCACACGTAGCTGCTACAGAAGTGCACAATAGGAACACTATCCCCAATGTTCCATGCTAAGCGTCCCATGACCTTTTTAGCTGGACACTCTAAGTTAGCTGACTGCTGACAATTTTGACTCATCTTTGTATCATAAAAACATACACATGCAGAGCATTCAGATGCTTCCATGCCACCACTCTTTATAAACCCAAGAGGAGATGGTAAGGCCCCATTCTGTATTACATTTCAGCGTAGCACAGTAAATAGAATAAGACTGCACAGATGTATAAAAGACACTGAAAAACAGCCCATGCTCCCTTGAATAAGCAATTATTCAATTATCTTAAGGTCGGGCAGGTGGTGCAGGATCTTGTAATTGGAGCCTGTCAAGTTGCATAAAGACAGAGGATGGAATTCACACTCCGTATAGCCGTAAGTACATAACTTATTCCACCATCTCGGATCCTTTTTGCTGTTTAACAATAATGATTTTAATTTACAATACATCATGCAGTAATAAACAATAACTAATCTAAGCAGCAGCCATAATGCTATGCATAGCGATGTGGTGCTCATTCAAAAATTCACTATAGGAAAAAGCATAGTGAATGTAAGAGAAATGACAATAAGTAACATCGTGTTGCTTCAAATAAAAAGGGTCAGCCATGGGTTGGACTTTTCTTAGAAAAGTTGTTTTTTTAGCGCAAGAGCACGCAGGGATTGGCTACCAATAATTCACTGTCAGCACAAAGGGATACACAGAGCAAAGCTTTGGCTTGGACATCTATACTTGGTACTTTCACTAACAGATGGATTGATGCAATAGATGTACCTATGAATACATTTTTACAAACAGTTGCAAGGAGCATGAACAATGGGAATACAATTCAAAACATTATCTACAAAAGAAACATTCTGGGGGAAAAAAATCCTACCAGGATGTAAGAAAATTTCTGAAAATATCATTCTGTACACAGAGAAGATGGGAAACAGCTGCTTAGGTAGCAGTTATGCACTACTCTGTCTTGGTGAGCCCCAGCTGGAGGCTTCTGTTCTGTTTTGGGCATGACAACATTTGAAAAGCATGTGGACAAATGAGAGAAAGTCCAGAGGACGGCAGCAAGAATGAGTAAATATCTCAGGAAATAAGACCAAAGCAGAAAGATGCAGAGGCATGGTGTTTAGTCTACAGATAGAAAAGCTAAGGGAAGGCATGGTAACAGTCAAATATAGGAAAAGATCATGAAAGAGGATGATTTGTTGATAGGATAAGAGAGAAGCTTGAAACGTAGAAGGCATGATCTACATTAATAAAGAATTTTCAGTGGAAGCATTTCAAACCACCAGAATCAATTACTAAGTGAGCTGAGGCAGTAACAATAACCAGAAGTCTTTGAGAATAAAGTTAACAAGCCTGTCAAGAATGATTTGACCTGTCCTGGGGCAGGAGTCAGACAAAATGGCCTATCCTCAATTATAATCACTCCATTCGGATTCTTCTGCAAGTGTATTCTGCCACACTGCTCTAAATGTGAAGGCAGCACACAATTAACCTAACATACCATATCCTGGTTGTTACCTGCCTGTGTCATAACCAGGTTTTTTCCTACTATTTTCTAATTGCTCTTTTGCTCACAAGTAAGGCACTAGGTACCCAGAGACAAGGAAAACATCTTTCAGGCTACTGTAAAAGACCAGTAGGCTGATACCAAGCAGCCTATTCTAAATTATTTGTTGATTGATTATATTATTTGGCCAGAAGAAAATGCTTACATTTTAAAATTTCTACAGCAGGTCAGAGGTCAATTAAGCAGCAAATGCATTCCAGTTAGTCCATTGGTAAAATAAGAACAAAAAAAGAACAAACCTGAACTTACAAAGAAATGAAGTGGTTGCAATTTAAACTGTCCAAAACTAGAGACATGACCCCCAGGAGAGCAAAGACTACAGAGCAGAAAGCTTTAAAACCTAAAGAGAAGCTCATCCATGAAGTTGCACTAAACACAGTCCTGCATCACCTAGCTCATAATATGAAGTGATCTGAAACTTCACAAAGAAGCCTGTCATTGTGTAAATCCATCTCTCACAGATTGTTGCCCGTGGTTAGATTCAGTTAATATATTATTTATAGAATCCCACCACAAACAGTGTATTTTGGTAGGATAGTAAAGAAAGGCAACATCTGCACAGAAACCTGAAATTTGTGAAAAGATGTGTTTCAGAGATGCACCACCTGGAGGTGCTTGGGAGAGTAAAGCTGTTTTAATCTCTTCCAAGACTAGACCAAAATGAGATCAGCTTTAAGTATTTTTACGAAATACTTTTTCCCTCTCTATTTAGTAAGAACATCGTATTTCAGCTCAGTAATGTCTAGAAACTATGTTTCATTCCCGCGGCACACCCTGCTGGCTCCTGGAGAAACTATAGGGAGCTCACCAGGTCAACAGGCTGCTGCTGCTCCTCTCCCATGCTGTATGTCACAGTCTCACCATTTGCAAAACAATCCTTGGAGATTTTGCTCCATCAGAAACTTCACTGTCCTCCTCATTCTTCTGGAAAGTAGTATCCTCCTCCTGCTCAACAAACGGTATCTACTGGGAGCACAGTTCTAATGCAGCAGATACTGAGGGTACAAGTCAAACAACAAAAAACTCTGCATCACAGAGAAAGGTCAGAATCTCAGGAAATGTAATTTCAGGACAGTGGAAGGGTGACACACAGTAGCTCACAGATGTCACTCTCAAGACCTTACCATTTAAGAACATTACATACTAAATTCATTTATTTATTTTCCTTTCTTGGTTGTCTAAGGGAGTTGAACAGGAGAAACCTCAGTAAGGACTGCTGAAGTTCTGCAGTTCCACCTTGGTTCATATCAAAACCGGGAGATGCTGTAAATTACTCATAAGGATTATTTTGTTCTCTTAAACACTTGGTGCACTTACTTTTGTGTCGTGCCGTTAATTCTTTATATTTCTCTTGCTGTAAGCCAGCTAGGGAGAAGTATATTTTTCAGTGTTTTTACATGCAACTTGTTTACTGGATGAGAGCTGGAAGAATACAAAAAGTATAACAGCAAACAAATTAGTGAAGTTAACACTGCTGTGTTTTACAAGAGTAACGTCCCAAATCTCTTTATGGCAGAAGTTCAGTGTGGAGTTACCTTCTGAAGCTTCAAGAGCTGTAAAGGTTCCAGCAGACACATTTTGGAAAAATATTTGACATCAGTGAATCAAAAAGGAAGCTCACCTGTAGGAATTTACCAGGGACTTCTCATGACATGAAAACGGATGCAAAAGAGGAGTGTTATACAGGATAAACAAACAACCGGCACTAGAATCTGTGTGTTTAGTGATTTTGCAGGGAATCCATTCCGTTCAGATAGACCTGCCTTGTAGCATTAGCAGCAACGCAGGGCCAGTGGGAAATCAGGAAACCCAACCCTAAAGCCACAGGATGCATGGACTGCTTGTATTTGAACTGTGGGTGAGTTCTGGCTATTTGCAAACTTTGTATTAGACTCAGAACAGCTAAAACAGAAACCAGAGCAAGAAGAAGAGAGAAATAATAAAGCACAAAACATGAGCGCGTCAATTGCTACTGCTGAGGCAAGCATTAAAAAAGACAGTTGCAGGCTTTCTGCTTTACATAGCAGTCAGCATCTAATTCCCTTAGGCTACTTCTTTCTTATAGAAACCCAGCTAAACCCTCAGGGGCTGGAAGGCACCAGTAGATGTTTACAGAAAATTGAAACAGCCAGCTGATTCTCTGAAAATAATACATTTGTTACTCATTCATTTGCCACCTGCTGGCAATGTAGTGAAGTGTCCAGCAATCCGCATAGCACTAAAGTCCCTGACCAGAGGATACAGAATGTCCTGCACTCTCACAGGACTGGGTAAGTACTAGGACTTCATACAGGCTCACAGAATCGTGCTTAAATACTAAAAACAACCAAACAAAAACAACCAAACAGCCATGAGGTGCTTCATTATAATTACAATTTCTCTATGCACTCAATTCACGTTACTTCCCTGTGGCCATACTACAGAACCAAAGTATTCTCTATATAATTATTACATTCATATCGAATTGAAGTGACATTCAAAATAGATGCTGCTTCTTGCTACTATACTTAGTATTCTGAGTGGTGAAACAAAACACATTCAGGTTGTTTAAATATTCTGAAACTTGAGGTTACATACAAATTTACAAACCATGAAGCTGAAGATGGCATGGTAATTGTCTTCATAAAATAATGCTGCTTGGTTCAGTCTCATCAGAACTGGTTCTGATGAACTGAGGTTTGATCACAGTACAGATTTGTTTCCTATAGACTGAAATTCACAAGGGCCCAACCACCAAAGGAGGTAGGCCTTCCTACATCAACAGCTGATCCAGGAGCTCCTCAGCTGCCAGGTAACATTTGTTCAACTTCAGAGCACTGCCAGAAGAAAAAGACTTGAGTAAATTAAACCACCACTGTGGAAAAACCTACATTTTACACACTCTAAATCTAGAAACAGATATCCACTATGAGGAGCATCTGACAACACCAGCTGCTACTGCTGTGATAACACAATGACCCTTAAATATGGGTTACAGTTTATTTTTTCAGGGATAAGTAATATACACAAACAGGAGTTAAGTTAATGTTGGAACCTCAAGGTAGATAGGAGTTAGATAGTAGGTGCAGGGGACAAGGCGTAATGATGTATCAGCCCTCAGCCAATATAGAGAAACTTTCAGCTACTCTGAATTCACGTGGAACACAGAGGGATTACTGCCTCCTCTTGTGTTCCCTGAATACTGAAGACAGAGATAAGCTTCATGAGTTTATTTTACACATAGACAATTAAAAATACATTTTAGTAATGTTTCTCATAAAAATCGTATCAATAGCACAGTAGTGAAATCAGTGCAACCAAATCAAAAGGACAGGAAGGAATATTTACAATCACATGGTATTGTGCTAAAATTGTTACATCAGAAATTCTAAAGTGCAAAGGTGACTATATCCTACGCAGATACAGGTATCTGTTTTCTTGCTTATACTATGAACCAGCATTATCATTACAGACACACCACTTATTCATGCTGAACCATCAGGTGATCAAATATTATCCCTAGGCTGACAGGCAAAACTTCTCTATTGAAGGGAATTGGGCATCAGCATCCAAGGGCCAAATGCAGTCCTCTAGTTCTAGGAACCTCCACCCAGTATGTGAGACTAACTACTCTCAACCCAGAAACATGGAACATAGAAGAAGTGTATTAGAGATATTTAAATATAAATCTTACAAATAGTTCAATAGTTTGATTTATAGAAGATTAAAGACAATCAATACATTTTAAAAGGATGAAGTAGAGGGCCCAGCATTCAGTATTTTATTCAGTTGCAGTTTTGTCCTATCTGACCGAGCACAAGTTTATAAAGACTATTTACACCAACACCATTTGAAGGTTTGATCAGCAGAGCTTCTAAACCAGAGAGAGGCCACACAGGCAGGCTCTTGCAGCAAAAGAATATCAAAAGGTCATCTTTCAAAATACCTCACTCTTAAAAATTACAAAAGGAAGTTGTAATTGAAGGAACACAGCTGCTAAGTTTCTGAATTTCCTGAACTCTCAGTCAATTCACCTGTATTCTTGAGCACATTCAACAGGCAATCTATATATTATTTACAGTAATTCTTGCCACCATCCAACAAAACCAGAGGGAAAACTGCTCACCAGCTGGCCACACTCTATACTTTGCACACTAAGCAGTCTCCAGTTCCTTATTCTTGGGCAAAACTATCCAAAGCTCACCATAGGATTTTAACTACGAGTAAACAAAGTTTGTCTTGAAAAGCAACACATGTTAAGTGACTTAGTTTGTTCCATTAGTCTATTTTTAAGCTACTACATCATATTTACCGAAACAGCTATGGCATAAGAAGTTTCACAGCTAGGCTTAAGTAATGCCATCATCTGACACAACCCACTTGGTTATGCTCTGAACTATTTACAACGAGCTTGATTCAAACAAACCACTTGGTTGAAGAAAACGTCCAGGGAATTAAGAATTACAAGTCCTTAAAATAATCTTCCCTAAGCAGTTGTTTGGGAATGATTTAGTCATGATTTGTTCAAGATATTCATACACTGAAATACACCCATGGTCAAAGCCTCACTGGAAACGAGTCCTGGCATCTACATGCGCATTAGCAGACAAAGGTAAGTCTGTGCCACAGAGCGTAGCAGATGGAGAGGGAGGGGAGAAGGAAAAAAATGGAATACAGTCTGTCTAAAAAGAAAACTGATTGGGCTGGGAGATATAAATATTGATACACAGAGAGCTCTTAAGAACAATGAGCAACTACAAAAATTCACGATTTTGAAATGGAGTTTACTGCATCTTGATCCTTAAAGGGAGCAGGCTAAGCAAATGCAGATGACTACAGCTGTAATAAGCTTTGTAGAAGGATTAAAAATCTGTTCTGGCAAAACAGCTCCACACTCCATTTTGGCAAAATTTAAGCTGGTTTTTTTTTTTAAACAATGCAAGACATCTAAAAAGTTAGCCAATCAAGTTACAAACAGATTACATTCTGTTACAAACAGATCTGAATAACTCTTCATAAAATATACCCCAACTAATTCTGCAGCATTAGAAGAAAATGGACCTATTTTGGACATAAATTCTTCTTGATGGTTACTATTCCTACCCACATAAATCCTTAAAGATATGAAACTTCTTCCAAAGCAGCAACTCAGTTGATTTTACGATTATTTTTGTGTACAGACCTGGCCGAAAGAAAAATCCATCAACAGAAGGTGCAAGTTCTGCATTTGATTCACCACCATGGCCAGTATTAGATCCTCTTTACAGCAGTGAATTCTGCACTTTGGTCCATTACCATGAGAAGAGTCTTGGGGCTCATACTAACCTTATCAAAAGGTTTTAGATCCATAGGCCATCAAGGAGCTGTGCTCCAGCTCTACAAACTAAGCTACACTGGTCCAACGGAATGTTGAAAATAAAATAAAAAAAAAATACTGAATTACACCACAGTGGAAAGAGAACCAATCCAGACAGTGCGATGCAAAGAACATTTTTACAGCACACGTCATGTTAAGTGCACATGCCATCATGTTTTCCTGAAACGGGAACATTCTCAAGCTCAATTTCCTTCTCAGGTAGAGTGAAATGCAGTAACTAGTATCTAGAGACTGCAAGGCTCTCACTTCAATACATGCACTGTATTATTTTTTTTTTTCCTCTTACAACAAATTGGAAAGTTTTGTTGACATGGGTGGTGTTGAGTGCTCAGTACTAAAGAATGCTATCACATTTTCCACAGTAGGCAGATACAGAAAAAGCAAGTTCTGCAAAATACTTTCTCAGTCTTGACTGAGCTTGGCTTTCAGCAAAATCTCTTCAAAAGGAGCTGATTTCAGTGCACTGCTACAAAAACCTGACATACAGCACTGTCTTCACACAGCATAAAGGAAATCTAGAGCTTGGTTTCCCAGCTGTTCTTTCAGCAATTCACCTAATCTGACCTGTTATCTTAACTTCTTTTAGGCATTACCTGAATGGAAACACACCATCTTAGTTACCATTCTACTACCTTATGCATTACAGCTTCATATATTCAAACTGAGCTTTTCTAGTGTCAGGAGATTTCAAATATCTGCAGCTTTCAAAGTTACCAGCACTTTAAAAATTCAAAAGTTACGAATGTATGATGTTGCAATGCATCACTTTCAAGTATTTACTTATTACTTGCTGCATTACTTTCACATACAATGTGATAATAAAGGATTTTAATTTAAGGACAGACAAGCTAAAGTGCCTCACCACAAATTCTTATACAAGAACCTTAATCTAGAAAGGAAAGAACAGAGGCTCATAGTTTCAGAAGAATATACATTGTGCTCCAATTATGCAAAACTTAAGGTTTTCCAAGTCCTGTGAAATACCACCGGAGCATTAAATACAAACCTATATTTTCTTCACTCACTGCAATTAAGTAAATTACAACATGGCAAGATGCTAAGCCTGTATGAAAAACCTAAATAAATATAACTGCTCTTGCAAACTTCTGTTTACAGATTGTGACACTATACAGCATATTCTTTAATGGAAAATCCTCAAGCATTACAATCGTGATATTTCCTTTGCTACTTGTGGATAGAAACCCACAAAAAGAAACTCTCTAGAGGCACAATAGGAACATTTAAGCCCATTCATTCTATGATACCCCACTAAAGCAAAAAAAAAAAAAAGTCAGATATAAATAAACTGCTAGAAATGCGTCACATTCTTAAGCAAGATAGATGCATACTAACAAAAGTAAACCATATTAGTCTTCTAAATTAAAAAAGAAGAACCAGAAAAAGGGAGATCAGGAATAAAAGCCCCAGAGTCCAATTAATACAGTTTTAAAGTGAATTCAAAGCACCTATGGCACTTAAGAAATCTGGCATCCACTGTCTTTTTGAGGCTTTATATCTGGTTCCTTCAGAGGCTTTACTTCTTCATCTGGTTTTGGTTTAGCCTGCAAACAAGAAAAAGAAAAACCACAAGTACAAACCGCTGGGTCTCCACAGCATTCAAGCAGCACCAACTTACACACCCTCATCTGACAGCTCTCCCTCTTTTTAAGGCTTAAGACTTTGAGCAAAGACAAGGGAAGAAAACCAAATACTGACTGTTTCAGCATCTTTCAATGAATCATTTTCTTAAAAGGATCACTCTGTAGCATTCTCTGTGATATTATCTCAGCATCTTACATACATTAGAGAATTTCTTTTCATTCAGGACTTCAAAAAACATAACCTCTATTCTCCAGTAGCTGCTAGTGTGGCAGAGGGATTAACCAACTCGCCTCCTTGCACAGGGGAAACTCATAAGCTCAGGTGGTAGCCATGCATCTAAGTCTTTTCCTACTGAGGTGGGAAACATTATACAAGACTAAAATAGTAATTTATTATAGACAGAATAAAGATAATGGGAAAAAAAAAATATATATATAAGATTATCTTACAGTGTCATCCTTTGGTCTCTTGGTGAGATCAAATGCAGCAAGTGTTTCAGGAGTCCAGTGTGCATTCAAGGCAGAAAATTCAAAAGGAACAGGCTCTACTAAGCCATAGTTTGCTTTCAATTCCAGCTGGGGAGCCTCTGCAGGCACCTTCTGAAAATAGCTGTAATAGAATACAGCAACGTATTGAAAACAACACATTCTCTCTGAAAGTTTCATTTGCAATACTAAAGTAAAACAATTCAGGTTTTCACAGCACTACACTCATTCTGTTTCATAAAGGCATCATCCAGCATGCACTGTCAGCAAGATTTGCAACAAAAGCAATTCCTTCTTGGTATTGTTCATCCCCAAAGAGCCAGGTGGGTTCTTTCCTTCTTCGCACCCATCACTCCCAGCACTTCAATGAGAAGAGCATCTTTTGTCCAGAAAGATGTTAAAAAAAAAAATCTGAAAATATTTCCCAAGAAAAATGAAAGCAGCAGCTCTTTTTCTCCACTACTGCAAGACCAACCCTAATGTGCTACACTGAATATTAGCAGCAACACTGCAACACCCACGAAGACCTGACAGAATGCAAAGCCTGAATGAGGGTATAAAACTACCCATAGAAAACTAATATTAGCTGAAAACTGACCATCACTGCTACATGCTACCTTAGTTCCTGTGCTGTGGCAGGGTTCTGTGGCAGGTATATCACCCCCAACAAAAAACTCCTGAGTATCTAGTTTCCTTTCCTATTTGCAGTTCAGTTTGGCACATTTGACAATCCTTTTTTGTTAGTCAATTCTCCTACCACAGTGGTATTCAAATACTGTGAACAGGGGAATGAGCCAACTGTAGAATACTGTATTTATAAGAGGAGAGAAAGGGAGAAAGAAGTCATCAAGATAATTCTAAAGCCAAACTAATCTTACTATTTTAAACCATTACCAAAATCTTTCTTGAAAGGAGCATGAGCTCACAGAGTTTTATTGATGGTATTAATTAGACTTCTCAAGCTCCTAATATCTGAAGTATACTTCTCATGGAAGGCAGGGCTGTTTCATCTTCCCACTAGCAAATCAGAATCAGACACCAGTCTCATCAATTTCCCCTCTGTTCTCTTCTGTCTACTAGATCCCATCACCAGGGAAGAGGGCACTAAAGCAACACAGCAACTGCACAGGACTTTCTCCTGTGCAGAAGGAAAAGGAACAAAGTGGCTGTGGAACAAAGGAAGGAAACAGCTTAACGTTGCCAGTGTGTCAGTCCAACCTACACAGTCAGAGTGGTACAACAGACCCACATAGTCTGGAAAGAGGGAAAAAAAATAAATAAATAAATCAAAGAAAACTGCAATTCTGCAAGTTACATCTTACGCTCTATCACAGCATAAGTATTGGGAAATAACATTTACTGTTGTATCCTGAAGAACATCAGCAAAAAACAGCAGATAAGATATTAACAGGCCGTACAGAGTACTGCACCAATCCCAAATTACTTACATGAATCCATTCTCTCTCTGGCATTTTTCAAGTGTGTTCTTAATCAAAGTTCCTAACTTCCTAAAGAAGAGATGTCCAGAAGGTTTGGCAGTAGTCCCAGGTCCTTTGGTTTCTCCATACTCTTTGCACAGTGCCTCAGCCTTAGCAAAAACTGAGCAAGAAAGAAATATAATAAAAATCAGTTACACGAGTCTGTTAAATGACAGTTCTGATCTGCACTGCTTGAGCTTTAAGAAACATCAGACTCCATTCAGTCTTCTTGCTTCTCAGAAACAAAAATAAACTAAAAGGCAGCACTTCCAGCCAAGATTTACTGCATCCAAAAAATGACTAAGAACAGAAAAGAAAAAAAAAAAAAAAAAGTTTTTTGAGTAAAGAGAAGCGGGGAAATATTCTTACTTTGGGGGCAAAATGCGACAGTAAGCTTGAAAACTGTGCAACACTGTAGAGAACAAGAATAGATAGGAAGGTATCCATACAGAGCAGACATTAAAAAATAAACAATACTTAATATGGAGTTGGAAAAGAAGCACTCTTCTCTGAACAGCAGGCACAAAAAACTCAGTATCTGTTTTACCACAAGTAATCCAATTTAGCTTGTTCTTACTCTACTTTTTTGACTATTTTTAAAAGTTTTTATTGGATTATTTGAGCATTTTTACACATTGTGGTAAAGTTTAGCAGTGCAGGCCACTGGGATACAAAAGAAAAAGCCACCTGCTCTACATGATAAGTACAAAAAGTATCTCTGAATTTGTATGCTGGATTTTAGCCAGTTAAAAGATAAAAGCTTAAGTTTATAAGAAAGAAAATACCCCACAACATAGAAAAATAAAGGGGGCGTGCCATCAGATCCTACAATCCAGTCTCAGTCAACTTACATTTTTCTGATTCTTGAAGAGATCTAATTGCTTCCCCACACTTATCACTGGCCAGTAAAGTTTGACCATGGTAGCAGTAAGCCTAATGAGAGAGGACAAAATTGTTATCAGCGTCACCAGGCACCTCTCATATCAATCCACTTCTGTCCTTACTTACATCAAGTTGGCTGTCTTTGAAGCTGCCATTCCCTGCAGAGAGCTGACAATTTGGGAATGTAAGGCAAAGCAGCACTCACTGATGAGTAAGTACATTTACTTTGACTAACTGTATAATCAAAGAATATTAGGATGCTATAATCACAAAATAAACGAGAGTTAGGTAAAGCAGACTATGATAACAAAAGAGAATAAATGGAAGGCTTTTCCTATCCTGGGCTCACTCACAAAACACCAGCAGAGGCAAACTCCAAACAAGATCCTTCCCCACTGGCAGCCAGCTCTTAAATAGGTCTAGGATGGATGGAGCCTGGCTCCACCCCTTCCAGCAGCACAGGTGAATTGCCTTCACCTGAGCTCCTCTGGCTGACTCATGGCTCGCCTCAGGTGATCAATCAGAGGTTCAGGCCGTGACTCAGCAGTTCCCATACAACTAACATAATTCAACACAAACTCTTGAGCTGGGTCTAAAGCAAGATGTCTCAAGTCTAGCCAGGAGAACTGTGGAGCTTCATAGAAGCTTTCAAACCACAAATAGCGTACAGTCTAGTTCAAATCTCCTTTTCACTGTGTCAGTATGCAGCATTAAACCCCATCTACAAGGGAGAGGGAACTCCAGTAAGTTTACAAAGACTCTCAAAACTTTTGATTCCACCTCTGCAACCAGATCATGTTGCTGTGACATACTACAGGAAATCACCAGCACATTGAGCAGCTGATGATCTCAGTGCTACTATACTAACAGATCAGGCATGTCAAAAAGGACAGTACTTGGAATGGCACTTCACATTTGATGCAGCTTCCCTCAGGACTTTCAGAAAAGATAAGCAGATCTGAAATATGCCTAGAATCAGATTTTGATACATATAATGGAAAACTAATACTACACTCAATCTGATCTGCTTCAAATGTCACAATAAACTCCACAGTGAGGAAATTTCACCTGGCTCAGCAAAAACACTTTAAATGCGACCAACACTGCATAGTGTCTCTTCACAGCATGGAAATAAAAGTCAAGGCAATATGCAAATCCCACTCTCAATCCAGCCCACAGACAACATTAAAAACATGAATTACATCAACAAAATACTTACGTAAGCCATATAGAAACAGGACTTCAAGTTTAAGTACTTCCTCCATTTACCTGCATAGGTTGGATCCAAACTGGATAATGTTTGATCTGAAAATATGCATGTAAAGTTGTAGTTTGAAACATTTTCAAAAAGGAAATACCCCCTAGCCCTACTCAAAGATCAGAGCTCATAAACTTAGCAACAGATCTTAACTACAAAGTGGCTGGAAATCAACGACATAAATTATTCCTGCAGAAGCACAGAGAAGCTATGAGAAAAACAGAAACATGCAATTTACTGAGCTATCATGTAGTTATTCCTAGAATCCTTGAAAGAGCTGCCCACTGAGCTTGGAAAGTTAATTTTACTAAGAATCTTTAGGCAGCACTTCAAAGTTGGCTCCTAGGTCAATTTCACAAAGTGACCTACAGGTACCTACATACATGACAGTATTCTCCCTCGCATATCGACTCACAGACGTTTGCACTTTCACGATTCGTCCTCACAAAGCCACAGATCAGCCTGCTCATCTGTGCAGATGTACACAATTAATTTTTGCCTGGTTTGCCTGCCTGCATCATGCTTCACTGCCCAAAGACAGCTCAACATAGTTCACTTCCCCTCCGCTAACTACAGAAAAAGATTATCCCAAAAACAAAAGGTCTTAACAGAACGCGTTTGTTACAGCACTACCTGAAGACATAAAGGCACTAAATAGAAAACTAAATACACGAAGCATATCCACTGAGAAATAGCATTAATTTTGCAATTAACAAGCAGTTGAAGCACATCTGCTGGCAATAACACATACACCCAGTCACTAAGGATACAAAACAAGACACTCACCAGCTTTTTGGTAGAAGTTAGCCGTCTCATAAGCAAGGGCAGCTATTAGACCTGGATTGTGTTTCAGCTCAATAGCCCGAGCAATTGTCACTGAAAAAGAACCCCACACTATGGTATAAAGCCTAATTGAAAACATCACTCCAAGTTAGTGGAGGCATTTAGCATTTAGGAGTTTAAAACTCCTATATGAGCAGAAAACAAATATTACGTTCAAGCTGTAGGATGAAGATGGTCTGTTTCTTGAACAGACCAACAGCAAGCTAATGGGAAAGCTGGAAAAACATAGTCTAAAGACTAAGCAATGAACTGCAAATATTTTAAAGAAAAAGGACAATTTATAAAAAAGGGAATTTATGTTAGGCAAGCACAGAGGAGACTGCATAAAAGATGAGGAAAAAAAAGAGAAGCAATGTTGCACATAAGTTCTTCCAAATTGAATTTGTAGTATCAGACTGATTTGGGACATTTCCTCTATGTTTGTAACTTATGCTTCATTAAAAGCAACCCACCTCACTAAGACAAAGAACTTCAGTAGAAGGAAAAAAAACCAGCATTGCTGCAAAACAGACTTTGCAAGACATCACAGAAACCCACAGACAAAGGCTGTCACTTCCCACCCCCAGTAAACAAGTATATTTGAAAATACCTTCTTGAGCTTCAGCTTGGCACTGGATGATGTAAGAATCTATAAGTCGAGGTTCCAAATCTCTTCCTTTTTCTACAGGTGTAATCAATTTTGGAATATGACATTCCTAAGTAGAAAGCAAGCTTCTAAGTCAGTTTAGGCTCAATAACACTCGTCAATGCAAAGCACACCCTTTATTCTTAAAATGATAGAACACGCAGTGAAGGCCCCAAACCACCTGGCTGCACTTTTGCAGGCACTGGTGGATAGACAGACTGACTACTCTTCCATTGGGAAAAAGGGACTGAGCGACAGCAAAATACATCAACACATTCTCTTCCCTGAATCATCCAGGCAGTCTGAGATATTTGCTTACTCTATAGCCTCATCAGAAAAGCAAAGGTTTTTCTAAGACAAAAAGTACTCAAAGAACTGACAACGACAGTTTTTCTACCTTCAAATGCTTAAAAATCCCAGCTGCTATCTTCAGGCTTCTGTGAACATCTTTTGCTTCATCTTCTGTTATACTAAGAAAGGACAAAACATAGAATGAATCATTGACATTTTAGTTGGAAAGGAACTAAGTGTCATTTAGTGTCACCTCCAGTTTCGGAACAGGATTACAGCCAACAGCTGATCAGGCTTGCTATGGCTTTGTGTAGCTGAATCTTGAAAATTAAATGGAGAGTCCCCTGTAACTTGTAACTAAGTAACCTTCCCCAGTGCCGCACTACTCTCATACCAAAGAGCTTTGTATAGTGCTCAGACATTTAAAAAAATATATCAAATATAACTCACTTGAAAAAGGAACAGAAAGAAAAAGAAACATAGGACATTTAAGTAGAAGGGAGCCTTAGTGTTAAAAGACAAAGCGTTAAAAATCTGTGGGGCTGAGTCAGCAGAGCAGTGATTTTAAGAATCTGAACTTTGTAGTTAGGAATCTAGAGCAGGAAGGATGTGGGGTTTACACAAAACTGACACTTTCTCTATGCCATAGCCTAATGATATCAATGCTATTTGTCCATCAAAAGAAGAAGGGACTGAAGAGCATTTTGATGTTAAAGGCAGGCAAATGAAGATTAACAATCTCCTTGAACTCCTCCTGTCTCCACCGCACATGAGCTATAGCAAAATTCTGAACCTACTGATTTTTGCTGGAATATTGCTGCAATACAACAACTAAGAAAAGAAAAACACTTACTCTTCTTTTCCAGCGAGTCTTGATGCATATTTTGTGTACCACAGAGCTACATTAAAAGCCATGGAAACCAGCTCAAATACTGCATCCTGCTGGGCACTAAAGAGAGAAAAATAAGAGAGAACAACACCCTCAAACAATTCAACGTTTCCCATTTTGTTCTGACAAACTCTCTCTGCTGATAGTTTCCAGCAGAGGAAGGCATTCCCCTCCACAAGCCAACAATTTCCCATTCAGACATTTCTACTTGCTGAACTGCCTAGAAGACATTTCAGTTTTTACTTATTCCCTTTAAGAGTTCATAATTTTAACTTCCCATGTTCAGATGCCTACCCATACCACTCAGGAACTTTTATTTTAAAACAGTAACTTGAGATTTGTTTAGTTTTGGGTGTGGCTGACATTTTTTCTTTTTTTTTTTTTTTTCTTCTTTTTTTAATTGCACATTTTGTGGAAAGCCTTGCTCTGGAATGTCTTCTTTAAAAGTTGTAGCTGCTAAGTCAGAATCTATTACATCTCTCTCCAGTGAATGTTATTGCAAGTATTTATATAACTGCAGTCAATTGGCATGCACAACTAGGAGGAAGTTTCCAAAGCTAAAAACACAGAATGGTTTGGGACCTTTAAAACCATCTATTTCCAGACCCTGCTATAGGCAGGGATACCTCCCTCTAGATCAGGTTGCTCACAGCCCCATCCAGCCTGGTCTTGAATGCCTCCAGGGAAGAAGCATTCAAAACCTCTCTGGGCAACCTGTGCCAGTGTCTCACCACCCTCAACATGGCCTTTGAAAAGACTGCAACTTGCAATCCTAAATTCAATGCAGTTTAGGTACTAATCATTACAGAGAAAGGTGTGAAGGTGAGGAGAATAATGCTGGCACCAGAACAAATGTTTATATCCATGACAAAACTCTGACCAGCAGACAAGGCAATAGAAGCTTTGAGGAAGTGAAAAAAGCATGACAGATTTGTAAGCATAGTTATACAGCACTATTGCCTATGGTATCAAGAGATGATTGAGTAATCCAGAAGGTTCTCTCTAGACCTACATTCCTACTTAAAACAGCTGCTCTGTTTGCACTAGGAGTATATATACTAGGAGTTTCAGAGGAAAAGAACAAAAGTCAGGCCTTGCTCATCATCTGGACATCAATAAAAAAATTTAGAAGACAGTGGTGCCAAATGAAAAAGTTTTAAATTGCAGTAAACCATGCTTTCATACTCAGGTTCCTTTTTGCACTGTGTTAGCCAACTGCAGATTATAGTTTGTTTGCAAACTAAAAAACAGTGGGGTACTTTATCATTAACAAGCACTACCATGCCTCTACATAAAGCCAACAGATGCTTCAGAACATCTATCACAGTTTGGCAATTAGAAAAAATGCAAAACAACAAATTGTTGGAAACTACTTTGGGTCCAAAGTTCTGTTACATGTTCAAATTTTAATTCATCTGTGCTGTCATATGTACACACACGTAGTAGACCAAAAGAAAATAACTGCATACCACGCAATCATAAAAGCATACGTACCATGGAACATGTCCCTGCAATGTGTCTGTCCACTTGAAATTCTGAATGTATCGCAGCTTGCATTCTTGGGAAGAGTCATCCAGTGAAAGGATAAAACCTATACAATAAAATAAAATAATTTAAACAAAACACTACTGACAGCCAATTTCAAAATAAAGAACGAAAAGTAGTAACGAAAGAACAGGAATTGGTGAGAATATAGATAAAGGAATGTTTATTGCTGTACTGCTCAAAACGCAAACTACCTCCTGAGACTTCTGTTCTTCAGTATCTGGAGAATAAGACTTGAAAAATAAAAACTGGCTACCAGAAGAAAATCTTTGCACACCAGGTTACCAGCTTACAGAATTAGGGAATGGTTTGGGTTGGAGATCTTTAAAATATCATCTATACTGTGGGCAAGGGCATCTTTCATTAGGTAAGGTTGCAGGTCTTCAACCCAGCAAGTCTTCACAGCTCAAGAAAAAACCTTGCACATACCATATGGTGACTAGCTGAAGTTTGACTGAGTTGAGTACAGGATGCTTATGGCTGCTCCCTGCTACTGTAACAATGATAAGTAAAGTCAAGGAAAAGCTGTCTGGTCAACAGGGAAAGAGAAAAGGACTTACAAGCATGGATTTACATAATCACCAGCTACTCTGTCTCCCGGGCTACAAGAAATTGCTTCTGTACATGCAACTGCCCAGAAAGCAGGCATCAGTGAGACTGACCTTGTAGCAATTAGACAGACCAAGACAACAGGAAAGGGTTACAACAAAGATGTGATGACAAAAGGACTGGCACAACAGACAGGTGCTATAAAGGAAGGGAAGAACATTGCTCACCCATATCAAGAGGTTCCAGGTTTGCAGGGGAAAGTTTAACCAAGGAGGGATCTCCAACCAGAGATCCTTCCCCAGGGGCAGTCAGCCCTTAAAGAGGGGTCTAAGAGAGGTGCAGCCAGGCTTCATCCCGTCCAGTCACACAGCTGAATTGCCTTCACCTGTGCTCCCAGGGCTGACAGGATCCTTTCCCTGGTGCCCAATCAGTGGTTCAGGCCACGACTCAACAGTTACCATACAGAGCTCATCACGGATGTTCAGACGCTAGCAGGAAATCCCAGGCAGGAGAGACTAACTCAGCTCTGGTCAGGTCTTACAGATTTTAAGAACTCAAGAATTGCAACAGCAGCTATTTGGGCTACAATTAATTCTAGGTTCTGTCAGAGATTTATAGGGAAAGAAAATACTTTTTTTATATACAAGAAATTTTAGTGACAAAACATGTTTTCCTGAAGAAATTCTAAATTTTACATGCAGTAACTTTGTTATCTTGCTTTTATTTAGAATGTTTCATTAACTTACACCACTCAAGAGACTGAGGAAACTACACCAACTTGAGCTGCTTCCCTTTCCACAGACTGAAGGATAACTGAGTTTTCATCAATCATCTGATTCCTATAAATTTGCTCCTAAGTAACTTGTCTGAGAGTTTTCAAAAACCGTTGCTAAGAGAGAGTTATTGAAATACTGACAGAAGGAGGGCTTCAAGGGAACATAGCAACTACTGAAAATAAGAACCCAGGGACATACCTAAGATAAAGAGCAGAAACATAAGTTTGGAACAAGTTCTACTACCTAGCATTAGATAAACCAGGAGTTTACACTGAAGAGTGACTTATTAACTAAACCGTAGATTCAATTTATACTTCAGAAGCAATTCACAGTGTAAGAAATGACACTTTCTCCTCCAACAGGAAGCATAATGAAGATAAAAGCAAGAGGATAAGACAACCAAAGCTTTCTACTCAGAGTGCAAAAGGACACTGAAACTTGCAGAGAGGGTCTAGCCAGTGTTTGTGACTGGCATTAAGCACAGAGCCCACGAAGATACTCTCCTTCCTGAGAAGGGCAGAGTTTCATATAAGACTAGTTCAACACGTGTTCAGAGAAGCATTATTAAAACTCAAACGACATACTTGATTTATTAGCAGTTCTGCACGTTCCTACCTTGCAAGAGCGAAAAGTACAAGTCAGTTGCATTCTTCATCATCTCTGGATTACAGCTCAAGTCTGTAAACAGCTCCAGCAGTCGTGTCCGAGATAACCTCAAATCACTACAGGAAAGGGAAAAAAGAAGAAAAGAAAACTAAGAAGCTCTACCAAAGAATGTGGTGTTGAACCCACCCACATTACCACCACTCTTTTGGCTAAGGAAATTAAAATAAGCATTCAAGTCAGCCACCTTAACACAAGGAAAGGTACTCTGAAAGGAAGATGCCAATAAATTAAAAAAAAAAAAAAATCTTCCTTTCACCTCTTGATATGTAAGGTTGATTTTCTTTTTAAAAGCACAATCCATTGTGGACAGATAGCATTGAATAACAGCAAATAAATCAATGATTATCTGTAAGTTTTATCACAGACTAAAATGAATATTCCTTTATCTACCAAGAAGTTAGGTGCAAATGGAAGAAAGAACAGTAACAAGTAGGAGCATTCATCACTATAAGAACGGGGTGGGCATATGAAGAGATAAGAATAAATCTGCAAAATAAAGTGTGATTTCTTTTCCTTATATTTCTGACTACAAAAGAACATTTATGTCTTATTCACTTACAGAGTAATCTTTTGCAGAGGAATGCCCAGCCACCAGAAAGACAAAGAAACGTTTAGTCTTTTGCCTCTATATTATTACAATAGGTCTTGATATACACTAAGAAACTTGAAAACTGGATAATTTGTCCTTTGTTCAGTGCTATCAGTATTTCATTGTCTCTCAGCCTACACACTACCTCTAGTTATCTTCAGAACAAAATTAGGAGAACAACCATTACTTTTAAAAACATCCTCCAAACAGAGGCAGGCTTAAGTTGATTATAAGCACACTTACTTGCAAATCTTAGATGAAGCTGGAGTGGTAGCTACCCCATAATAATTGAACTGAACAGGAGCTGTAGCCTTCAAAGGATTGCGATGAAACCAGTGTGTCATTTTCCTCCTGTAATGTTGCTCACACCAAATCTGAAGCATAGAAAGAAACAAGCAGCTATAAGAACACATACAGCTGAGGCATTTCTCAGTTCACAAAAATGCATTTCAAATGCAAACAATCAGAAAATAAAATAATTTGAAAACTTACATATACAATTATACTAAGTATCATTTTTTCCATTTGAAAGATTGAGCCTTTGCCACCCATATACTTAGTTTTAGAATTTCATTCTCTTGGAATACCTATTTTCTATGAGGTAACTATTTTCTATGAGAGCAAAAAAAGCTATACCTTTGTTCTATATTACTGCATACTTTCTTACTCAAAACAATTGTTACTGCCTGTGCAAGGTTAAATATCTCCCATATTTACAGGTTGTATAGAAACTGTTGAGTCATGGCCTAAGCTACTGATTGAGCACCTGGAGAAAGGACAGTCAGCCCTGGAAGCACAGGTGAAGGCAATTCAGCTGGAAGGGTGGACCCCTCTTAGACCCCATTTAAGGGCTGACTGCCCCTGGGGAAGGATCTCTGGTTGGAGATCCCTCCCTGGTGGAGTTTTTTCCTGTAAGCCTGGATCTTTAGAGACCACTGCATATCTTTCCTTTGTAACACTAGTTACCACCATTGCACTAGTCCCTTTGTCATCACATCTCATGTATCACCATTCCACTGTGTTGATCTAATTGTTATGCAGCTGTATCTCAATTCATTGACGTCATTATATTGGAGGTGTTAAAAATATGTGGACGCATGACATTAAAGGATGTGGGTTACAGGTTTTCAGGATGTAACAGGACGAAGCCCTGAGCATCCTGCTCTGACCCCGCAGCCACTGTTGGACTGCAAAGCCCCTTGGAACCTCTCTAGCCTGAACCACCCTATGATCCTTTTTGGGGCTGTAAACTCCCTATTCTAATGCGCTGTGCAGCTTAGCCAAAACCCAAGAGGCCTGCTGAAAAAGAACATCCTGCCGCGTATCCTAGAGTCCAGGCCTTACGGGGGGGACCTTGTCCGCGACCTCTTTGTGCCTGCCCAGCTGCTCGCTGCTTACCTCGCGGCTCACCCAGCCGTTCCCAGCGCGGGCAGGCCGGGCTCCCTGCCCGGCCCCACACGAGATGCGTTCGGTCAGATAATGGAGTGCCCTGGGCACCGCCCCCCGGCAGCACGGCGGCCCGCCGGCAGAGCCCCGCTCATTGTTCACCGCCCCAACGACACCGGAGGCGTAGGGCCGGCCAGGCCGCACGTTCCGACAGCGGGCCCGCGCCGTAAAAGCCCCACCGCCGCTTTCGCTAGCGGCTGACGAAGGGAGGGAGACCTGTGGGAACCCCGCTACTCACCCGGGACCCTTCTGCCGGGAGCGGCGGGGCCCAGAGGAGACGAGCGATTCTTGCCCGGGCTACGGCCGGTTCTCGGCGGCGGCGGCGCCCTGCGCAATCACGTGACCGCCGCCATGACACATAGCGAGGCGGAACGAGGTTCGCGCGTACCGCCTCCGCCTCGGTAGCGATGGCGCGGGCGGGTGCGGCTGGCGCAGCCTCCCTCGCTGGGCGGCGCTGGCGGGAGGCGGCCGCCGCGTTTGGTTGTCGCGGCGGCTGGGCTGGGCCGGGCTGGGCAGGCGGCGGGCGTGGGGCTGGCGGGAGCGGCTGCCCGGCGCGGTGCCCCGGCCCGGGGTGAGCATGGTGCCCTAGTGCTGGGGCTATGTCGGAGGCGGCCCGGAGCCTCCTGCAGCGCTGGGGCGCCAGCTTCAGGAAAGGCACCGACTTCGACTCCTGGGGGCAGCTGGTGGAGGCGATCGACGAGTACCAGATGTGAGTGCGGCCCCCAGGGAAGGCGCGGAGGAGCGGGAGGGCGGGCGGCTCCCCGCAGCGCTTCCCTGCCGCCCGGCACGGCCCCGCCGGGCAGTCCGGGGCGGGGCGGGGCGGGTGGCTGCAGGGCCTAGGCCGCAGCCCCCCCGGCCTCGCTGCCGGTGCCGTTATGTAACGCGGGGCCGCCCCGCGAGGCGAGGCGGGACGCGGGACCCCGGCTGAGGGGAGCGGGGGCGGGCGGGACCCGCCCCGCCGGACCGAAGCCTCCCAGAGTGCGGGTGATTCAGAGCGCGGGGCAGCGTGGGGACCGTGGGGTCCGACTGGGCTGGTGGGCGCGCTGCGGAGTCCGCTGAGTGCCGGCGGGAACCTGAGCGAGCGGCTGGGAGCTGTGAGCTGAGCGCGATCCGTGCGAGCTGAGCGCTCCAGGCTCAGGTTCTCGCGGTGGGCGTCTGGAAGAAGTCCCGAGCGTTCTCCCCCGGTAGAATATCAGCCTAAGGGGCACCGTCCGAGAGGTCTTTACGGCTGCTCGGGGCTGGCGGTGCGGCTGCCTTGGCTCCCAGCTGAGTGCCGTTCCCGGGTGGGTGCTGCATGGTGAGGTGCTCGTCTCCTCAGCACGGTCCCTTAGCGGGTAGGACGGTGCGCGCTCAGTTATCTGCCGCTTGCAGCTCAGGGGAAGCTGTTACTACATGCCTTGGCACGGCAATAGAAAGGCGTTTTAATAAGTGCCCTTACATACACATTCATGAGGAGTGCATTACGACCCTAACGCTGCAACCCCCCTTGGCAGTATTAGGGGTCAGTTTCCTTCAAGGAATTTCCCTCGGAACAGAAAGTCCTCAGGCTTCTCCTTCAGAGCTTGCCTTGCTGAGAAGTAAGTTCACTTAATGATTGCAGCTGGACCAAGGGAAGAGCCAAGGTGTGATTTTCATTCCTTTTCTGTTGTGTCTGATAAGAACTGAGGTGATCTTGGTGCCCGTGCTTTATTCCAACTTTGTAGCAGTATGATATAGTTGTAAGAACGCTCCTCTGGGTAGCAGCGCTGTGAGCTGCCCTTGGAAGCTTTACCACTGAGCTCCTGAAGAGCAGTCAGCAGATGAACTCTGTGGCCCCAGGAGGAAGAAGAACAAAGATTGACAGGGATTTCCTGGGGAGGAGCAGAACCTTTTCAGTCTGTGCATCCACTTCTCTTCAGTGTAGCAGGTAGACCAACAACAGCTTCGATCCCTAGGATAGAGGCTACAGTTAAGAAGTGTAGGGTGAGATACCAGCCTCTAGATCTGGAGAAACATCCCATTGTGGCTTCATGCTACTTGCTGCTTTTTTAAATGGGAATTTGATCACGCTGGTGCAGCTGGCTGGATGCTTTTAGCAATTGGCCAGGTCTGTACAGATCAGTGTAGGAAGAATCATGGTAAACTATGTTGAGCTTGCTTACAATGAGAAAGATTTTTCTAGGCTGATTTCAAATCAGGGCTTGAATGGCTCTTGGCACAACTGCTTGCCTCCCTTGTCCAGGGGGCCTAAGTCTGCTCAGGTGTTTGCGTTGCTCCTTGAAGTTTGGTGCCGAGATTGACCCCTTGCTCATTCAGATGCATGCTTGTGTGCGAGCCTCAGCCACCAGCAGTACCTCCCACCACCTGTAGGACTTGGCCTGGTCCTACCTTGCACAAGCATCGGGTGGGACACCAGAGGCACTTATTTGAATTAGAGTGCTTTTTGTTGGTGGTTTTGTATTAGCAACAAATGCAAAGATCATTGTTGCTGATGTTCACAGAGGTGTTATTGCTAAGATGTTGTCTGTTGTGGGTGGTGTATTGCTGCTATGATTACTTGTTTTCTGAAATTGTTTTTTAAATGCCCAAGTGATGTATGTACATAGCTTTCTGTATCACTTGTGCTGTACCACTGAGGAAGGGATGACCACATGTTCAGGTTCAAGTGCCTGTGCTTTCTGACTTTTCTCTGCCACCATTTTCTTCCATTCCAAGGGAGGATGTTGTAACTAATCTGTGTCATTATCCCATTCTGCTGGTTCTTTGCTGCTTATAGCAGATAGCTACAGTGGCTTCAATCCTTGTGTCTTTTTAATAGCGCTTATTTCAGGAGGAGCAAAGGAACATTTGAGCTCTGCAGTTTATTCCTTTCACAGGCTTTGACTGTGATTGTGTCTGTTTTCACTCCCTCAGAAAAAAGCAGGTTAGTGCCTGTACACCCGTGGCAAGAAGTCGAATTTCTTTAAGAGCACAACATTACAAAGAGATTCCCAGTGGGAGTGTGTTGAGATGTCCACAGTGCTGTTGTTGTCTTCGGTTTTTCCCTCAACCCCTCTCTCCAGTGCCACTAAATGTATATTCACAGAGAATGGCAACAATTGCAGTTTCCAATTGCACGGTCTGGCTTGTTTAATTTTCTCCTTCCTCCCTAGAAGGAAACTGTAACTCTTCCCATAGATTCCCTCTAGCTTCCTTTCGCTTTCGTGAGCTGTTTGCTTGCTGTTACTTCCCAAACCCCTTGACACTGGTCTCTGTGGTGGTAATGGGTGGAGCTGCAGCTCTGCGTATGATGCTGACAGGCCCAAATAGGAACTGCTGCACCCTGGGAGGCTCAGCCACAGTGTCCCCATCTCCCTCATTGGGAGAGCGTGTGGCCATTGCCCACGCTACCTGCTGCTGCTCTGCCTGCACCCACTCCTCCTGGCAATCAGATTCTCCATGAGAAACATAGCACTTGTATCTCAGTGGGTCCTTTTCACAGGCAGTATAATTTATGATAGTTTAATTTAAAAAGATGGATGGGGAAAGAAAAAAGGTCAGTGCTCATAGAAGGGGCTGTTGGCTAGAAGGACCTTCATATCTATTTTGACACACTGTAAGTAGTTTTTCCTGCGTAATACTTTGTCTTCTGTTTGTTTTTATTTGGTGTAGCCTACTGTGGCTATCGAAATCTTTGTGAAAAAGAAACTGCTTGGAGCAGTAGCCTGTGGCACATTTTCTGTAGGTTGTGACAATGATGATGGGCTTCTGTGTTGTCCTCTCACTGTACAGTTTTCTCCCCTTCTCCTCTAGATTAGCAAGACATCTTCAAAAAGAAGCACAGTCTCAGCACAACAGCTCAGAATTCACAGAAGATCAAAAGGTAAGCGTTGCTGTTGGTGTAGTCAAGGAACTTGCCTCACAGATGTTGTTTTTGTGTCTGGCAGACCTGAGCTTTATGATACCTGTTTTCCACTCTTAATATGCAATAACAGAAGCAGAGCCCAGTGTGGCTGAAACTGCTACTGTCATTAGATGTGACAGATGCTCCGCTGTGTAATGTTGAATGTCTAATGTCTCACATGCTGGTCAGTGTCTCTCATAATCTGGGTGTTGTGTTTTCTTTTTTTCTGGTGACCTTATGATAACTTGCTTATACAAAATTAACGGGATTTATGTTATGAAGACTGAATACAAAATGTCTTGAGCTGTAGATGTCGAGGGTGTGTGTGGAGGATCTTAGCCTAATGTGTAATGCCTGACTGGGAAGGATCCTAGCTGCATACTCCTTACTAGTCTCAATGTTATTTATTTGTAATCTTTCAAAATATTGAGCTGTCTACTCTTTCCCCCCTTCTCTCAGCTGAAAAGGCTGGTTTTTGTCTGAGTATCACATAGTTGTCATTCTATGACAGGTTTTAGGAGGAATGTGCTAGTTGAGGTCCAACACACGCAAGTATCTTCAGCAGAATACAAGGAAATCTGGGATATGAGGCCTTGCCAATCTTTAGTACCTTGCATAAAGCCACATTTTTCGTAGGAATACTATATTAGAGAAAATATGTATTTCCAGGTTGTAAATCATGAGATCCCTTGTGTGAGCAGCAGTATTGCCTGAGCAGTGACATTTCCTAGCCTAGAATCCCATGTATGCTAAAAGGGTGCTAGAGTAATGGGGTCTGTGTTTGTTAATGTCACTCCTGAAAACAAGCTCTGGCTACAGAAATTGGAGATGAACTTGATCGTTTATCACTAGGAAATACACCTTTATGTGCAGTCTGACAGTGGTCTGTAAATGTTTTCTTGACGTATACCATCAAAAAGAGCCAAGAAGTGGCCTTCCCTTTTCTATTGCCCTTCTGTGAAGAAGAGGGTAAGGCTCGTAATAGTCTTAAACTGAGTCAGAATCTTGGAGAAGGGTTGGGGCAACCTTTCCTGAACTGGAGGATCCTTGTGAACATTGGGCAGATGTTTACTCATTCATTGCTTCTGCTCTCTATCCCTTTCTAAAATCTTTGTCCATATTTCTCAGCTATTATCATCTTTACTGCATGTTTCTCCTCTGGAGACTTTTGGAAAATATGGTTTGTATGGGAACTGCTGAGTCACAGCCTGAACCTCTGATTGATCACCTGAGGCGAGCCATGAGTCAGCCAGAGGAGCACAGCTGAAGGCAATTCACCTGTGCTGCAGGAAGGGGTGGAGCCAGGCTCCAGCCCTCCTAGACCTATTTAAGAGCTGGCTGCCAGCAGGGAAGGATCTCATCTGGAGTTTGCCTCCACTGATGTTTTGTGAGTGAGCCCAGGATAGGGGTGAGCCTTCTATTTATTCTCTTTTGTTATCATAGTCTGCTTTGCCTAAACTCTCTTGTTTATTTTGTGA